CGCATTGGTGTGATGAAAACGAATGACTTATAATTCAATTAAAAATCATTTAAATATGATATAGCTAGTGATAAAAAAAACATTCAGATTTAAGGTAAAAACTTTACACTTCAATGAGTGAATGTAAAAAAAGAGATTCGACTTATTTTAGTACTTTCAGCAATATTGCACACTGGGGGGAAAAGAGTCATCAAAACTCATGCTGCTGCTTGTAGGTGTATTATTGTCGAACCATAAACAACGCGGCCAGTGGTTATACAAACACATTTTCACAAATTGAGATTTGTGACTATAAATATTTAGAAGCGACTTTTTAGCTTTTTACAAAGGCGAAAAACCATCACATAACAAACAGTTATTGAGTCCTGAAATTTTAAAAAAGCGGCCATCAAACTCAAACGTTTTAAATACTTCTAAATTATTTTTTTTATTTTTATTGCTTACATTTAGGTCACAAACTATAGTAAAAATAAAGCAAAACGAAACACACATATGTAATGTAAGCATGCGTTTGACCTCTATTTAAGCATTACGTTTTAACTCTATATTAAGGTTAAGACACAAAACAGTAGCTAATCAAAGGTAAAATGTATCTTAAATATAAAAGTGCACTGTAATTCAAAAGCAAAATGAAAGTACACAAATACCCCTTCTGAAAGAAAATTCACTGGCTTGCACACTCCCGTGACTCAAATGGAGCCCCGGCGTTCAGACTTCCTTCTAAACATGACCAAAGTCAACAACATGATCTAGTTCCCTAACACATAAGCGCTGAAGTGTTCGTCTATCCATCTAGATAAAGAAGCCATCTACTTAAAGTATCCATCTTTTATGCACGTTTAAAGAGAAGAAATCTATCTAGACTTTCACAACCTTGCCCATGCACGGTCAGTGACTTTCTGCTGTCCCTGCGTTTCCGTTTTCAGCAGACTGTGGACAAATGGGGACTGCTTTGAGTTCGTGTGCTTTTTGAACTTTTTTTATTGCACTCTTCAGTCGTTTGTATCTTACTTCCGTCTTGTCGGCAACACCGTGTCACTTCTTGTTGATACTAGTCGCACAAACTGTGCAAAAGCATAAAGAATTTGAGTGAAAAGCAGAAGCGATGAGAGAAATCGAGAGAATGAAATACAAGTTTAGTACTGAAATCCATAAAAATTATACAGCTGTTTCGTTCTTTAAGAGGTATAAATTAAGTGCATAAATTATGTGTCCTCGCAGAACGAATGCTTTTACACGAGTTAAAACAAGGAAGAGCATTGTACTCGGTCACTGTGCAGGGTCTCTGACGTACGCAGGCTCCTGAATGATAGACATGGAAATAGAATTTCATCTGGTCAGTGTGTGAATGTGTCTGTCTGTGAATAGTGAAAGAGAAATAAAGCGAGGGACAGAGACCATCTATGTGAAATATCAAAGCACGAAATCAACTGAAAAGGCAGCTGGCCCTATAGCCTATAAAGACACAAAACCCAGTGGTTGGAGGTACAAGGCCCAGCATATGTGTCTGATGTGTAAAAATGTATGTGATTATATGTGTTTAGCCCATACTTGTGAAGGTTTGTTGAAAGGCCCGACTTCCTTCTATGCATCTGTCTACATCACTTTTGGCGTATCATAAGACCAAATATGTGGCCTTTACAGCAGACATGGCAGGACATCAGTGGACGAATCTGATCTTTCTTAAAATAATAAAATAAACAAATAAAATTATTACAATACAGTTCCCCTATTTGAAAGAAGCTTAATCGTGTTTGCAAACGAAATTCGGTCGATTGGCTGCGGATATTATTCAAATGAAAATTATTTAAAATGTCGTATCTCTCTGTACAAAGACAGTAAGATAGGCTAACTATGACCCATGCATTATTTTTAAATGACATTGGCATTTCACACAAAACTACGACGCAGAACGAAAATGAATACACCACAGGCGCGCAAAGACTATCTGCCAGTAAATGTAAACAACTTTGCTAATGAGGTATCTGTTTCAAAACTATTCATGTTGTTGTATTTTTACACTGGGAGCTAACAAGAGAAGAAGCGCCCCCGGTTGACAGTTGACTGATAGGAACTGACGGTGCTCGGGGAGTGTCTTGAGAGGCCGCAGAAAATCATTAAAAGAGAACTTGTCGACCTCCTTTTCAAATACGTCAGCCGGGACGTGTGGTGGCTATGTGAGAAAAGTGCTATTCCTACGAAAAGTTGACGATTTGTTCAAAACCACTGTTGAGCGAATAATTAGTTGCGGAACTGGCTCGTATGTCTTGAGTCCTATGTTTTGTGAAATTTCCAACACACCCAGGCACATATAAAACACAAACATGTCCACACACAGACACAGTTACATTTCTGACAGTAATTTAAAACAAAGGTCGGCGCAGCTGTGACATACCCTAGAAATACAAGGCCCCGCCCTCTATATGAAAACATGAGGATTTTTAACGCTAGTGATTGCCAACATACTAACTTAAAGATGGATTCATGTGTACACGCAGCAATGCAATCATGACACTCAATCTCAGCAGAATCTTGGGCATTTGCTAAAGCTATACATAATTCATCCAAACCTCTCATATGCCGCCCCCTCCCTTTTCCACAAACACGAACTACTACGCACTAGCGTGTCTTGAATTATGGCGACTAATTAGTCATAAAAAAGATCTGAGGAAAATAACACTTTTTGAAATGACTCGGTCGCTCCCCTTAACCTGTCTCCCTCCCCCTCCGACATACAGACGCACACCCTTGTCCTTAAGAAACATTCAGTTTTCACAGACCTGTGCTCCTCATCCACGGATAGATTCGGAGGTCGTTTTCGTTGTTTTGATGGTAGCCCCTCTGCTCCTCTTTACCACTGCTTTGCGCTTTACAGAGATCGCCAGCGCTCACCATGGGTAGACTCGGATGTTCAAACAGAGAGCTGTGCATGTTCAACGAAACAGCTCCCAGCTCATACGCAGTGGGGTACATGCCTTGAGTCTGGCTGGAAAGGCTAGCACCGTTAGTGTACATGCTCGACAGGGAGACAGAAGATGTAGAGGAGACCGGTGCACCGGTAGAAGCCGAGCCGTAGCCGCTGGCCCGCTGCGAGCTGCAAGAAAAGGCGCAAGAAGTTTGCTCGGGAAACACGCCTGTAGAGAAGGTTGAACTCGCCACTTGGTATTTGGAAAACAACGCGTTTGCATAATACAATGAACTCATAATTTGATAAGTGATTTATATGCCAAGAAGTTTTAGTGTCGGTTTTACGAGGTCCAATGATATATTACAGAATTACAGTCTAGATTTACACCAAAAATCACCCCTTTTTCCTCTGGGGCCACGTGATGGGCAGCACGTGATGAAATATCATCCAATGGGTGTGCGTCTTCCCAGAGCCCCGTCTAATGTGGAGAAAGGCTTCGCAGCTGACCATCCACATAAATTTGTTAAATTATTCACTTACAGCCAATGGTATCTACAGTCCACACAAACGCACTGGAGAACACACAAATTGAGAAGGTTTCTGTAATCACCTAAATCCGTGCCGAATTGTGGGTTGTACAAATTTATAAATGAGTTCAGGTTGTCCAGATTTAGGAACGTGCCTCCTGTTTGAGAGGCCACCACACAAATAACAAGAAACCTATTTATTTCTGCATTGATTTTCAACACTATTTTCTCTTGTCACCGCTCCTGCGCATACCCCAATTTCCTTACTGCATTTTTTGCAATGTCTGTACAGTGTGCCCCGTGTCAAGAGCATGATGGCCCTTACTAGACTCGGCTTTAAAACATCCCTATAGCTTGAACAGTCGCCGTCAACTAGCCATTTCCATGGCGACGGACTGGTTCAGTGCACCCCAAACAGTTTCCCTGTACATAGTTAGCAAACATGTTCACGCCAGAGCTCTGAATCTTGTCGTGGTTACTTACTCTCTCTGAATGTTTGAGAAGCCCCCATACTCTTACGACTAGTAATTCACCTGACACGATGTGCTCCCATAACTCAAATACCCACATTTAACAAAGACCAGCAAGATGAAATTTCGTTTTAAGAGATTTTTGATGTAGATACACGATAATACATAGTCTGTTTATGTTGAGTGGGGTATTATATCGTGTTGTGTTACAGTGTTGGTCTGACAAAGTATGAGGGTTTTCAGTTGTGTTTTCACATGCCGCCTCTCTTTTAGTTCACGTATCTAACTATAAATCAAACATCAGACCACACTACATGACTTTTCTGTGAGATTTACAAATGTGTAAACATTAATTTTATTGTGCTATTCAATGTTTGCGCTTTTATGGATTCTTTGAAATTAAGGCCTATGTTTTAACATAAACCATCTTGTCTGGTAACCTAAAAGTTTTTGATTTGAAGCGGACCTTGGAACCGCACATTAACCACGAGTTTTCGTTTTTATTTGGCGTACTATTTATATGCACTTTCATGCGAGGATACATGGTGCCAGGGACCGTCGCTTGTAAACTTTATTGTGTCCACTTTCTACCGGATTCCTCCAGTTTTGGACACTAGAATACGGTCAAGAATGACAACCAAACATATAGTCATCTACTTCAGTAAAGGTGAAGGACAACAATTGGATTCATAGTAAACTTGGGTCACATGACATCATTTTCAAAATTCTTTTTTATTATGTTTATTCATTTTTATAATCCACTGTGCGCATGCTTACCCCATGAAAGGAAGACAACAAAAATACCATCGATTTAAGAAGAACCAAAGACGTGTAAAAAGAGATTCTACGGCATAAATAGGCAGTTTCATGTTGTTGGAAGTCATTAATGTCTACGTCATCATCATAACATATAAGTGAGAACAGTTAAAAGTGCACCATTTAACTTAAAAACTATACAGCTGCCAAGGTAATTGTTAATGACAATATCCTAACAATAGAAACTTAAGTTTCACGATAAGTATTTCACAAAGAAAGGAGACTAGTTTTAACACTATCATACTCTCTGAACAACAGTTAAAAAGTAGAAATGCCTCTTGTCCTTCATCTTCCTGAAGTTCGGTTTTCACCACATTAAGTGTATAGTCATTCGTCTAGTCCCAGTCATTTTTTTTCTGTTCCTTCCTCGAATGAAAGATGTAACCACTCGACTTGATTAAAATGTATCTGTGAGACAAACCTCCCATGCACACACCGTTATTCTCTTCGTCATTGTCCTGTTTTATTTTCCCTATTTATTCTTTGCCTTTTTGATTGACTGACACACGTACACACAAACACACACACTCTCTCTCACACACACAGACACTCACACTCGCATCCGCTTTACATTTGTTTTGCCTTGTCGCAGTCTTCGCCAGCTGGCTGTGTCCCGGATGCCTGTTCTTTCTCCAGTTTCTCTTTTTCGATCTGCTCTTGTTCAGACTTGCTGCTTGGAAACTTGTCCTTGTTGTTTTCTTTTTTCCATTTCATGCGACGGTTTTGAAACCAGATTTTGACCTGTCGTTCTGTCAGTCCCAAAGCGTGTGATACTTCAATCCGCCGCTTGCGTGTTAGGTAGGGATTGAAGAGAAACTCTTTCTCGAGTTCCAGAGTCTGATAGCGGCTGTAGGTCTGGCGTCCTCGCCTCCGTCCGGCAGCTACTGGCAGAGAAGTATACAGATGTTAGACAGAGCTCACAATAGGCGCCAAATCGCAATTTTACAATCAAGTTCACACATATTCTTGAACCAACATTCCACAAAGGCAACTTCCACGCAAAACGAACGTCTACAGTACATAGGCTAATCGCGATACATTATTAGTTTATGGGTAGGCTATTAGTGTACCATGGAGACTCCACACAGCCTAACACAGTAATTAATGTAATAGCTCCGCCATTACAAATATAAGTACCACGACACTAATACACAGAAATGAGCAACACTAACCTCGCAGTATAGAGTCGTCAAAAAGCAGTCTAGGCTATACTATTTCACATGTTCAAAGGATTAGGCACAGCCATAAATGACATAATCCTTGTGAAATGACCACTGTGTAGTGAAATAAACTCAGGGCTCACTGTAAGCCGTTAAAGGCTGCAGTAAAACTTTGACCTGGGTGAGAAGTGAGAGATCAGCTGTGGGGCAAAGTCTCACACATGGAAACAGTAAGAAGAGAAGGGGCTTTCTCTCGCCCTCTTCTTGCTCTCTCCCACTCTCCTGTCTTTCTATGGCAGGGTCATTAAACTGTAAAGTGATTCACAAGTTTTGAACACCATAAAACAATAAAAACGGCTATTGCCCCCCTCCCCCTCGTGCACACAGGAAATGCAATTCTAAACCTAAATTGCACTGAGATTTTTTTCGTGTGGCTAACCCAGGTTTATGTCACTTCAACAAACACACACAACGCGAGTTGGCCGGCTTTTCTGTCTACCGAGGCTCACCTTGAGGTCGCATCCACGGGAACAGCTGTGTGGGCGACGGACTCTGCTCTGTGTTGTCCGTCTCGTCGCCGATGCCCCCCGCGGCGAGCTTGCAGTCGCTATACTGAACCAAGTCGGCGTCTTGAGCACCGAAAAGCGTTTGCCTCTGGAGAGCATCATAACCGTAGAAGTTACCCGGCTCGCCGTGACAAGTTACTGCACAGGGACTCTGCTGGTAAGGAGATGCGGAGAGCGTGGATGCGCCGTGGTGGTAAAACTCTTGAATCTGAGGGGCATGCTGGAAAGTGGCTCCGGTGCCTGGACCGTACACGACGGTGGGTCTCGTCCCTAGGTCCTGAGCAAATCCGCACTCGTAATAGTTTGGCCGCAGAGTGTCTCCACTTTTGTATTTAGTGAAGAGAGAGTTGACGAAATATGAGCTCATCTTTTGATGTTGTTGTTGGTGCTGATTTTGTTCAAGAGTTTGCGTTTGAATGTCTTTATATCAGCGCAGTAGCTTCAGAGAGTTGTCAGTTTCACAGTTACTGAGGTAACAAACAATGCAGCAGCCAAGCCTTGATTTCCAAAAACTGAACGGTTTGCGTTTGTATACCTTTGTTAAAACAACTTAGCTAAAGCTTCCATAGGCATGTTCCCACTGTAGAGTTCCAGCATCACAATTCCAGTGAAGGGTGACAGTTCCCAACCAGTTTTTCTATGATTTACTCGGCTGCAAATGAGAAGTTTCATATTTTGCTGTGCGTTTTCACGATCATTTGCATCTTCTATCGGATCTTCGTTTCATTGGCTTCTCGCATCCCTACACGGACACCGCTCTGCGCGATTCTGATATGAAGGGAGTGAGTGAATGAAAAAGAGAGAAAAAGAGAAAGCGAGGGAGAGAGAGCTGAGAGGGAGAGAGCGCGAGGGAGCAGGAGAGGGAAGGGGGGCCAAGGGAGAGAGAGGAGGGGAGAATATGCACATTAATATGTTCAAGCGAGTAAGTTAATGAGAAATCTGCCGTTTTGCATCAGATCAAGTGCATAGCCTCTGCCCCCCCCCCAACATTCTCCACTCCAAACCCGTTTGAAAGATTGATTTTTGCATATTCATCACAGACAACCTAAAATGCATATTTACCCGTTAATTTCCAAATCTCTAACGAGGTTGAGTCTCCTTTTTTAAATGTCAGGGTCCAGACGGCCAATTTTAGAAGGTACACGATTTAATTGACATCAGTTTAAATACATCCTATAAACCTTATAAGAACGCTTAAACTTACAAAATCATCCTCTGCAGCGACCAAGGCGCGCGCATCGAAAATAAGACAGGTGGTCATATTTAATATTCTGATGGCCTAATTGTATTTATATAAATATATTTACAGAGATATGATGATGTTGGAATGGACCTGCACGTCAGGTGCAATGGCAAATGTGGTTGTAAATGGTTTAACAAACTATAAAATGCAATAAACGCCTCTACTGTTTGTTGTTGACGTAGAGCATCAAAAAGCTGTTAGGTTTTTATGAGGTTCTACGACCGGTGCTGTAAATGCTTCACTCTGGATTTTATCCATTCGGATATAGTAAGTCCTTTAATTGTAATTTTCGTTTTGTTTTTCATACAGTCTGCCATTGTGTTTAGCATGAGTAAATCTGATTAACATTACCTCGAAAATCCGAGGGGTGAAAAGTACCTTGCATGGAATTTTCTAATGGTAAAAAAAAATCAAAAATCAGTAAATGAATTAATTAAAATGAATGAGTAAACAAACAATATATTTTACGTGCTTGTAGTCATTTAAAAATCTTTCTGGATTCGTTTTGATTTGGGAGAAAAATATTGAATTCTAATTACAAAATGATTATAGAATTATGTAACGTTTCATATTTTCTAAAAAATTGAAGATTTTGTCATTTGTTATGTGTAACAACCAATATTTGTATTTGTCATTTGTAAGCATACACTGAATTAAAATACTCACCTAAAGCACAAAAAAGTTCTCTATTTTTTAAATCTGCATGACACATATGCTGTTGGTGCTTATCATTTTACAACTTCATTTGCATCTGTAATAAATTACTGCTGTGTCTCTCCCAAAATCATTACCTCAATGAGACGAATCCTTTTGAAGCTTTATGTTGACTAGCTATATATGAATAGTCATACGGAATATTTACATTTCAACACGTGAGTTATGCTCAATGTTAATGTTTCTATGTTGCGAGTTAGTCTTAAGCGGTAGTCACGCACATCTTGTTCTACACTTAAACGTTTATCTCTTAACAAGGACAAGGAGTTCACCAAGCGTGAATCTCTCCGTTTGACCAAAGCTTATTATTCGGCTTTAGTCAAACCTAGAATTTCGCATGCTAAATTCTGATGTAAAAAGTAAAAATATAATGCATAAGCATGACAGGCATTCTATTGTAAACATTTTCTGTAATTTTGCATTCATAAATATGTCGGTATATAGTGAATCTAATAATGAAATGAATGGTGTCAGAGAACGTCATACTATTATATGTTTTTGTTTGTTTGTTTGTTTGTTTGTGTGTTTCTTTTTTTGTGTACAATTTCTTAAATCACTGCAATAGCGGTAGTCAAGTGATGTGTTTTTTTGCTGTCAATAAAACATTTGCTAACCCAAGTTTTGTGTGGTGACTTTATATCTTATGCTACTCAATCATATAATCGTCCTATTACCATTTAAAACAATCACTGAATCATCACATCTCATGATGGATGTACACTGATTCAATTTCTTTTACAATTGCTCTAATAGCCTAGTTTCTAATAAGCCGAGCTGAAAACGTTTAATAATCTATTTTATTAAGATTAAATGTTTAAACAGAATTAGCTACACAAATGTATTATTGATTATGATATCTTTTTGTATCCTAACATTTAAAGATAGCCTACATTTATTAGATATATGGTAAAATATATAGGTAAAAAGGGTCTACTTGTTTCTCAAGATCTTTATCACTTAGATTGAAGAATCCTCTGAAGTTAATGTTCTTCGTCTCTTTCAAAATCTCCGCTGTAACAGGGGGAACTTGTGTGAACCTTACTTTAGTCAAGTGTAATACCGCACATGTCTGCAAATGTTTTGGCCCCAGTGTTTCCGGTTTGGGGGTGGAGGATGGCCAGCCAGTCACTTTTTGATGGAACAACATTGCCATCAAGCGGCAATTGTGTGTTACTCCATGAGCAAATGCAGCTGCAATGAGACGGAAGTTCAAAAACTAATGGTTCTATAAACAACGGACATAAAAACAGAATGAGCGAATTAACAGCTCAGTAAGTGCAAATTCAATGATGTTAAGTACTTATTTTCATTCTCTATAACAAGAAATCCATTTAAAACCGACCCTTGTATGATCTAGTCTTGTGTGTTTTTCATCATATCTAGAAAAGTAATTTACATAGGGTTGGAACCCTAACACTAACGTTAAACCATAAAAAAACAACGAAAGAAAGGTTTACTTCTGTCTTACTAGTATTTTGCTAATATTTTAAACTGTATTAACCTTATAATTTAGAATAAGACTCAATAGAATTCCGTCCGTGATATGCAATTTTTATTTGGGTTACACTCTTCTTATTTTAATGTACAACTACTACTATTACCGCTATTAATAGTAGGCTACCATCACCAAACCTACTATTAACAACAACGGGCTAATAATAATAGGCCTACACTGATGCTAGCGGCCTCGTATTATATTTAATTAACCTACATGCACACTGTTAGAAAAAAAATATTCAGTCCACGAAATAACATTTCCATGCATAAATACTTACTTCTCCTTTTTCATTTGGGGTACGTTCTTGTGTATTATTGTCTCACAAGCATCACAAAATTACTACTAGTAATCATCATCACCATTATCATGTTGCCTTTCCTTTTGATAGTTGTCGATACTGACAGTCTTTAAGCTTCTAATCATGGAGTTCAATTACAGAGACTAATTTTTATTTTTTTGAAAGAAAGAAAGAAAAATATTTAGATTATTTATTCGAAAGCTTTATGATGTTATTATTCACATCATTGTGTAGGTAGTTATATTACACTACACCACCAAACCACACACCGCGACATGACCATAATTCTTAACAAGTTTTTGCTATTCATATATACAATAAAGCAGATTTAACTATCTGAATTTTAAACTAAAATAATAAACTATAATGAACATACTTCGGGCTACATTTTAGGGAATCTATAGTTGGCGAGATTTAGCGTATTGTGTGGTTTTGTTTTTGAGAGAATTAAATATTTCTCTTTAGCAACCGGCCTTTGTATCACCAAGACACAATCGGATGTGTACCCACAAAATGGCGAATTCGAGCCCGGTCTCAAAGATTGTAAACAAATTAACGTTGGTCATCCCAGACGTCTCGCCAGAAATCCTTTTTGTGGCAGTTTATGGCCCGCTATAAGGGCTGTAGTGCGTTCGGAAATGGAACAAAGGGTGGGCGTCCATTGAATTGGACTCGGGGCTCTCATGTGGAAGTCCAGATCTCACCCACCCCGACCCCCTACTCTGTAAGGAATCTGGATGGCTAAAGAACAAACGCTGTACACAATAAACGACAAATGCGAGAAAGGGGAAGAAAAAAACAGGCTCCCCCAACAGAGACACAGTGTTTACGCAAATTATTTTGCCTTACAATTATTAGAATCGTGAAACGTTTTTCACATTTTCTTCCATTTTTTCTCGCGTAGTGTTTGCTTTACAGCCATTTAGTTCTTAACCTTCAGAAATGTATACCCTATAAAGTTTTATTACAGTCATATTATTTTATTGCGGCACACTACATTGAATTTCTTTCTCTTTTTTATGACAGTCGACTTCCCATTTCCTCCGAACATCGAGCGTACATCCTTTCTGCAGTTTGTTTCCTTTCAAAACACCAAAATAAAGGGCGTTAATGGTGTGGCAGGACTCAAAATCTCTTCTCATCCCTAGAATCACCAGGACAGACTTATGCTGAATTAATATGTGGCGAAGGCTGAATTCGTGCACACATCTGTGAGCCAGGACAACTGGCAATGTCTTCAAAAATATTTAATTGTTACAATCTGTTGAATGCAGATCTTTTTTAAGCTGTCTCCTTTCTCTTCTAATTTGCAATTGCATCAATTACATAATTGTTAGCATTTGGACCGTCTAAATTTGTAGTCAAATCATTGTATTTTCTGTAGTCTTATTCTATTTTTTAATCTTATAAAACTACATATGACCAGATTTGCCATCGCATTTGATACTACACTCTGATTTTCTCTGCTAACAGTGGGACTCTAGTCTTACATTATCGAGTATCTAGAACTTCCGAGTCTGAAACATTTAGACCTACCTTATCCCTTTTAGTTTGCATAATGTATCATGCATCGCCTCTGCAGGCAAAATATCCTTCTTGACTTCTGATGCATAACTTACATCTGGAGGATGCGGTATAGCCAAATATAACACCACAAATATCATAGGGGAATCAAATAATACGTTAAGAAGAGAGCCAAAGCAAAGATGAGTCATTGTTATTCTCGGTAATTCTTCTTTCCACATATGAGCCGCACGTTCCTTCATT